TACAAGCTTTTTGAAAACTTGTATGTTAACTTTTTCTTCACCTCTTATTCCTTCCTTTCTTTTTTGATAGTAGAATGTGCATGTGTGTATAAGACAGAAAAAGAAAAACCCTCAATATGGTCTTGTTATGCCATGATCCCTGCTACAACCCATTTCCCCAATGCTCCAGGCCCTCAGGATCCTGAGAAAACAGTTCAGCATGTTTTTCAGACCAACCCAGGATCCAAACTACTGTTGCCATATGGCTTTCAGCACTACATGGCATGCTATGTCCCACTGCACCACAGCAGCTTTCTTACTCACTCTTAAACCGACTGTAATAGCCAAGGTCCTGAATGCTTAGTATCACTTAATTAACAGATTAGATAGACTCTAGTTAATATTTCTCTAGTAAAAGTGAGGTGATTTCTAGGATTAAAAATGTGAAGATTGATGGGCCAGCATGTGGGGTGGGGGTTAAAGCAGCTGGATCTCATGTGGCTAGCTGCCGTGTGGTTCGAGTCCTGGACCTAGCAGCTTGAAAATCATTCTGAGTGTGTGTGCATGTATGCCTAGAATCTCTAAAGGAGAATGGGGAAGAAGGGATTGCAGCATGGCCATTTCCCTTGTGGGGTGATTTTTCACATTCTCTCTCTCTCTCTCTCTCTCTCTCTGTCAAGTGCATACAGCCTATAGCAGACTAAAAAAGGCGCGAAGATTGAAAAACACTAATATGGAATATGCAGGGAAATCAAGGATGAATATTACTAGACAGCAGTAATACCCAGTTTAAGTTAGCGAATAATTGTAGTAAGCCAGATCAGGATGGTTCTGTGACATATACCATTAATTTTCTAGAGCCAAGGAATTGAGAAAGCAGAGGTTATCTATGGTTGGACATGGTGGAAGGGTAAATGGGCTAGGATATTTAATGTGTTAGTAATGACACAACTGAGTAGAAAATACATTTTCTTCTAAATTTTGGCAGAAGGCATATAAAGCTTGACTAGACTCTGCTAAGATTCCATGCTCTTCAGGCTGGAACCACATGGGAAGGCTGATGTTTAATTTCCAGTCCAACGTAAAACCAGGCACAATGGTGTCTCCTCTGTTCTCAGTGACTCAGGCTGCTGAGGCAGGAGGATCACGAGCTCAAGGCTGGGCTTGAGACGTGGATGTGCTGGCAAGCACCTGTGGTCCTAGTTCCTCAGGAGGCTGAGAGAAGAGGATCATGGGACTGACCCTAACCTAAAAAATATTCTTAAAAGCCTAGCTACATTTTTCAGCTACATATAAAAAATACAGGAGTAGAAGGGAGGCATAGTTGACTAGGTATTTGAACACTTTTCATTGTCTTGCCATAGGTCTGAATAGTGGATTATTAGGTGTAGTTTAGAAATGTTAATCTCACTACATTTGCTGATTTTTTCCACCATAGACTTGAATTCAGAACTAAATGAATCTAGCCTGTATAGATTTTGTTTTTTTATGGATAGATTTTGGTTTTTATGTTTTTTTCCAGCTATTTGGCACAAATACATAAATTAATTATAAGATTAAGACTCTAATCTAAAGTTAGTCTGGGGCCAGCACCATGGCTTAATAGTTGGGGAAGCTGGATCCCATGTGGTCAATCACGAGGTTCGAGTCTCAGACCTGACAGCCTGAGAAATACAACAGTATGTATGTGCCCTAAATCCCGACAGGGTAGAGAAATGGAGGAAAAAGGGTTGCGATGTGACTACACTTCATTGGGAGGGTGCTTTCTCCCTCTTCTCTATTTCTGTGTTTCTCTCTGGTGAGCATGCATCCACCCTCTAGAAAATCAAATAAACTAAGTTTAGGTTTGAACTTTATGTGATCGAATTTTTTTGACTATTTTCTAACATAAATTCCTTATTATTATGGTTAAGAGTGTAGATTATGGAACCAAACTCCTTGATGGGTTAATTACTTACTTACCAGCTTTGTGACCTTGAAGAACTAACTTGATTTCACTATGCCTTAGTTCTGTTATTTGTAAAATGATGATAGTAGGACTGTAATCTCATAAGGTTGTTGTACAGATTAGAATATGTATAGTGTGAAGAACATTGCCTGGCACATTTGAAGTACTATATAAATGATTAGCTGTTGTTAAGTTCTTGTAAAGAACTTCACTTTTAAAAATTGCTTTTTTAACCTTTCATCAGATCATTGAAAGTATTATTGAGGAGAGTCAGAAGGTACGACAGTTTGAAGATGACTCATTGGATTCCAAAGGTAAAGGACTCGCTGACCAGGCTACTGCCAGTCCTGTTGTGGCTGAAACAGATCTTAGCACTATACCTGGACTATTAGCCATTGATCAAGTACTTCAGGAAGATTCCAAAAAGACAGAGAGTCAGGATGCATTTGAAGAAACTGAATTAGAATCAAAAAAATGTTTTCTTTCTGATGATACCTGTGAGAAGCCAGTAGATGAAACCACTAAGTTAACTGAAATAAGTTCAACTGAGCAGCTTCCTGTGCCTAAAGGTGAAACAGAAGTATTGAACAAAGAAGCAGTGGACATCAAACAGAGTGATGTTCTAGAACCCACATCCTCAGACTCTTTATCTACTAAAGATTTTGTGGCAGTGGAAGACGTGGCTCCTGCCAAACCCCCAAGACACCTTACTCCAGAACCTGATATAGTAGCTAGTACAAAGAAGTCTGTTCCGGCACGCCCACCCCCTCCAACTAATTTACCACCTCCTAGACCCCCGCCTCCTTCTCGACCTGCTCCACCACCAAGAAAAAAGAAAAGTGAATTGGAATTTGAAGCTCTTAAAACACCAGATCTAGATGGCAAGTATCGATTGAGAAATAACCACATTCGTAGGGTTATTTTTAAGTTGAAACTAACTTTTTGCTTTTGTTTCTGTTTATGCTATATAAAAACACTGATGACCAAGTTATGAAGCTTACTTCTTTAGTAATAGATCACTAGTGAACATTTTCACATTAGAAATAAGGTATATTAATGTAACTGATCATTTCAGCAGACTTTACACTTTCAAATCTGTTACTGTCTGAGAAATAGTGTGACACAGTGGAAAAAGAACATGGGATTTGGAGACTTAAGGTTTGAATTCAAGTCCTGCATCTCTCAATGTCTCAGTTGTAAAGTCTTGAGGAAGATAAGTAACTCTTTTGAACCATGATGTCTCTATATAGAAAACAAGAATAATAAAACCATTTTTCTCACAGGGCTGTTAGAAGAATTAAACAAATAAAGGTGGAAGCACTTTTAAAGCTGTGTATATGGTCATATATAAACACTAGTTAATGTTTTTGCTGCTGCTGCTGCTGTCGTTGTTATTATTATCATTATCGTTGCAGTACCCAAAGAGAATATTACATCTGATTCTCTCCTAACTACAAACATGGCTTCAGAGTGTGCAGTAAGGGATTCTCAGCCTTCTCTTGATTTGGCAAGTGCTACCAGTGGAGATAAAATAGTTACTGCCCAGGTTGGTGACTTAGTGTTACATATAATATAGTTGTACTCTCTGCAGCTAGCTGGTTTGTTGAATGTTGAACCTCGTTTTTTTTCCAGACCAATTATTTACTTGTCCCTTAAACCTGGCTTTCTTACCTCCCTTGTTCAGTTCTACTGCTTACTAACTGGGTAAACTTAGCAAAATGTTTAATATCTGAGTCCCAGATGCCTTATTGATGAGGGATAAAATTTCCCTGGAAGATTTCTTGAAAGAATGAAATGAGCAGGCTAGCTGGTGGCATGATGGTTAAAGTGACCTAATCCCAGGTGGCCAACTATAGAAGTCCTGGACCCAGCAGCTTGAAAAACATGTTGAGTGTGTGGGTATCCCCAGAATCTCAAAAGGAGGGAGAAATGGAAGAGAAGGGATTGTAGCATGACCATTCCTCATGGGGAGTGCTTTTTCACCCACTCTCCTGACCCTCTCCCCCCACAATCACATGTGCTCTCTGGCAAAAAATAAATAAATAAATAAGGGTGTAACAGATAGTGCTTGAACTAAACTAAAATGTTTACTATATGAGTATGTGTAGAAAAAGTTTTTTGACCCTATATTCAAGATAACCGTGTACAGCCCAGATTAATAACAATTTCAGTAGAGAACTACTCTTTGACCAAGTTCAAATAGAATGTTTATTTGTTTTTAAGACTGTTAGGACTTGATTTCATGGGTAGTAATTGTATTGGTACTTAATGTTTTTCAGCATGTTGAGAATAATAAAGAACTAAAATGGAGTGTTCTATTTAAATTTTCAGTAGGATCCATTATCTGAATTATGGACTTCTGTAGAACTGTGTGTGGTAATGAATAATTGAAAATTTATAGAAATTGACTTAGTCTACTTTATGTTTATAAATTATAATTTCAGGAAAATGGAAAAGCACCTGATGGGCAGACAATAGCAGGTGAAGTGATGGGCCCTCAGAGACCTAGGTCCAACTCCGGGAGAGAGCTTACTGATGAGGTAGAATTAGACTTTGTTGTTGTTGCTCTTAAAACATAAAGTAGAAAAATCATAATGAAAAAATGAAAAATTTCTGGAGATGGATAGTGATGTTTGTACAGCAGTGTGAATGTACTTAGTGACCTCAAACTGTACATTTAAACAGTGGCCGAAATGGGAGATGTTAAATTACATGTATATATTTTTTACCATAACTTAAATTTAGAGTTTCTTGTTATTTGGTAAGAAAGAAAAAGAATGATGTAGATTAAAAATTAAAATTGGGACCAGCAGTTGGCATAATGGCTATGTCACTGGACTCCCACGTAGTCGACCACAGTTCGAGTCCCAAACCCAGTGGCTTAAACTCACGCCGGGCGTGTGTGCCCAAGATCCTGAGAGGAAAATAGAGGAGAAGGGATTTTGGTGTGGCCATCCCCGCTGGGGAGTGATTTCTCACTTTCTGTCTCTCTGTCTCTGTCTTTCTGGCGAGTGCACATGCCTAATAGCAAAAACCTCTCTGAAAAAAAGATGAAAATTGAAGATTGTTTTAGGTTTCTTAATCTTTTTTATATTCTGGATCTTGCATTTCTGAGCTAAACTTGTCCTTACACAATTATACATTTGAATAAATATATTGAGAGCACGATTCTTATTTCATAGAGAATGAACTTTAAAATAACTTGATATTAATAGATACATAGTTTGTATATAAACATAAAATGGTTTTTATTATTTTAATCATTTCTTACCACTAAAAGTTACTATATATCTACTGGCCCATTTATTCAGAATAAGTTAAAGCAAAGTTTTAGTTTTTGCTCCTTTAAAACAATGCATTTTTAAAGATTATTGTACTCTAGGGACCAGCAGTTGACATAATGACTATGTCGCTGGATTCCCATGTAGTCAGCTGTGGTTCAAGTCCCAGACCCGGTGGTTTAAACTTAAGCCAGGCACGTGTGCGGGCTTGCCCAGGATCTTGAGAGGAGAATGGAGGAGAGGGGATTGCTACGTGGCCGTCCCCCCCACCCTGGGGAGTAATTTCTCACTTTCTATCTCTGTGTCTCTCTCTGTCTTTCTGGTGAGTGCACGCGCCCTATAGCAAAAACCTCTAAAAAAAAATAGATTATTGTACTCTGGAAAAGGAGTTCCCTAAAGTATTAGTGTTACCATGATCTAGCAACTTCATTCCTATGTATATGTACTGAAAAGAAGTGAAAACTTTGGTACATACATAAAATGTACATAGTAGCATTTTTTGTTGTTGCCAAAATTGTAAACAGCTTAAACTTCTATCACTGATAAGTAAAATGTGGTACAGTGGTATATTTTCAACAAATAAGAGGAATGAAGTGTTGAAACATACTTCAGGATGGCTGAAAACATGCTAAGTGAAAGAAGCCAGGCAGAAAAGGCTACATGTTATATGATTAAATTTATATGAAATGTATGGAATAGGCAAATTCATAGAGATGGAAGGTAGATTAATAGTTACCAAGGGCTTGAAGGAAAGGGAAATGAGGCGTGACAGCTAATGAGTAGGGGATTTTCTTTTGTGACGATGAAAATTTTCTAACTTTGATAGTGATTTGCAGAACACTGTCAATATACTAAAACCATTGAACCATATGCTTTAAACGAGTGCATTTTGTGGCATATAAATAATAACTCAATAAAAATGTTAAAGTTTATTGTGTACAATATTGAATGCATTGAAAAAAAGTTCTTAGATTTTTGAGGAATATGTAGACTCAAAAAGATAAATAATAGGTCATTTTGGTGTTATTTTTAACCTCAGGAAATTTTAGCTAGTGTAATGATTAAGAACCTGGATACTGGAGAAGAAATACCTTTGAGTCTTGCTGAAGAGAAGCTGCCAACAGGTATTAATCCTCTCACTCTTCACATTATGAGAAGGACAAAGGAATATGTAAGGTATGGTCAAATGTTATTATTTATCATTTGTCCTATGTCAGAATGGTGAAGATTTTTGTTTATGACCTCTGTTCCTAATGAGGTTTCATTCAGTATTCTTTTCTTAATCTGGAATTAAAATAGAGTTAGATGATGCATGCATACTTTGTTTTCTTTTAATGACTGTGCAATTGCTTTGGGAAAATAGTGTAAATCTTAAACTCCTATAGTATATAGTTTCTCTAATTTTTAAAATGGTATTACAATAAAAATTATATAAATCATCTTGATGTTGTAAAAAACCATGTGGGATGAATACCTAGTCTTCTGAAAATTTACTTTAAGGATCATAAACTTTATAAATATGTGTGCTGTTTTCTATAGGATCAGAAAATGGCTTTCGAGTGAGATGATTGACCTTAATGTGAGATGTATATAGATTTAAGGAAGTAATTTCTGTAAGAACGAGTTTTTTTTTTAAATAAAATACATACATGGTGTACCTAATGAGTGAGAACATTTCTTACAAGCTTTTTTATCATGGCTTTGTAGACCATCTTGCCCAACTTTTTTAAAAGCCTTATTTGTAGTAGATTTTTTGTAAGTTCCTAAATTTCGTTTATTTAAATGCTTACATAGCATCTTCCTTTAAACATTGTATTCTTCAATACATGAAGCCTGTAAATTCTCAGGGTCATCCTTTAAATTAAATGTATATGAAGCTTATTAATACAGTGTTTTTCTTATTTTGATTAGCTGTAGCTGATTATATAGTAAGTATAAACAGATTTTTGAGAAGTATAAGAAAAATACTTTCTTTAAAGTGGCTTCTCCATTCTTACAGTAATGATGCAGCACAATCTGATGATGAAGAGAAGTTACAGTCTCAACCAACAGATACTGATGGTGGAAGATTAAAACAGAAAACGTGAGTTACAACACATTGCTCTTCTTCATTTCAAGCTTTTATTTTGAAGGAAAAAAAAAGAGAAATGCTGTGCTATACTATTTTAACTCTACACTCATCTAGTTTATATGTCCACTCACCCCTTGTACTCTCTGTCCTCAGTCTATGGATTATGAGGTTCTTGAAGTTGTATTGGTCAGTTTTAAAGCATCTAACATTGTAAATGATCGATAAGTCATGTATCATCTCTTTGCTATCTTTTTTATGGTAGGTACCAGAAATGTTGGTAGAATATACCGTCGTTTAAGTTGTCTTTTCCCTTTTTCCTCTTCTCTGCAAATCCTATTTTCTTTTTTCTTTTTTTTTTTTTTTTTTCGAGAGGTTTTTGCTATAGGGCACATGTGCTCGCCAGAAAGAGACAGAGAGATAGAAAGCAAGAAATCACCCCCAAGGGGGGATTGCCACACCGCACTCCCTTCTCCTCCATTCTCCTCTCGGGATCTTGGGCACGCATTCACACGCACCAGCTCGAGTCCAGGCCACCGGGTCCGGGACTTGAACTACAGTCGACTACGTGGGAGTTCAGTGACATAGCCATTATGCTAAATGCTGGTCCCAAATCCTGTTTTCTTTCTAAACCCAAATGTATGAGATTCTTCCTGACCATTCTAATTCATAGCAGATTTCTTTCTTTTTTAATTGCCAGAGGACGTGTGCACTCAACAGAGAGAGAAAGGGAAAACACCTCTTTATAAGGCATGGCAACACCACACTCCTTCTTCCTTCATTTCTCCATCCCATCAGGATTTAGGGCATTCACATACATGTGCCCAGCTTGTTTTTCAAGCTGCCAGGATTAGAACTCAAACTGCAGTTAGCCATGTAGAATCTTACTGTCAATGCACAGTGTTTAATCGCTATGCTGCAGAGACCCATATTCAAATTTCTTTCTTTTCTTAATTTCAGCAATACTTGTAGTTAATATAAATTACTTTTCCCTTTTATCATGTATTATCTTAAACTGTTTTCTGATTTAGAAGTAAGATACATGTTAAATAACTATATGTATCAAAAGAATTGTGATCATAGCACTTTTCTGTTTCCTGCGTAAGCAGCTAACTCAATGGTAAGCATAGGGATTTTGCTTGATTATGTAAGTCAATAAATTGGCAGTAATTCAGTCTGAGGTCCACAATGAATTCTTCACTTCAGTCTTTTTCCCTAGGAAGCATTAGAAATTTTTAGAAAAGGACCTGCCACATAGCACAGCAGTTAAGTACTGTGTGTGGAGAGCCAGATCTCACATGACAGATCATAATTTGAATCCCAGCCCTGGAAGCTTGAAAAACACACATCAGTCACATGTGTGTGTATGCACATGATCCTGATAGGTTGGAAAAATGGAGGAAAAAGGATCAGAGCATGAACAGTCCCCTTTGGGGAATGCTTTCTCTCTTTCTTTTTCTCCTCTCTTCACTCCCCTCTGGTGAATGCACATGCTCTCTGGCAATTAAAAAAAAAACCTCCAAAACGAAAGAGAGATTTTAAAAAGATATACTCAAAATGCAAATATATGATAACACCTCAGATATCTAGAACTTGATGGTATAGCAATGGCAGTGTCAGGAACCTGAGAATTAGGGATTATCCAAGAGAGATATCACAAAGTACATACACTAAAGCTCACCATTTTCCTTTTCTTTTTAAAATATATGCATATCTTGTTTTTCAAGGTTTGCTATAGGGCACATGTGTTTGTTGAGGAGAGAATGGAGTGAGAAATCACCCCCCAGAGGGGATGGCCATGCTGCAATTCCTTCTCCTCTTTAGGTTTTGGCCATGCATGCACATGTACCCAGCATGTTTTTAAAGCTACCAGGTCCTGGACTTGAACTGCCAAGTTGGCCACATGGAATCTAGCCACTTTAACCATCATACCACTAGCTGGCCCTCTCGTCATTTTCCTAAGAGAAAAGCTCAGGTTTATTCAAAGCTATTACCCTTCTTATGCTTTCGTTGTTTGCTATATACTTGCTGGAGAGAGACAGAGAAAGTGAGAAATCATACCCCAAGGGAGATAGGTATGCTGCAGTATCTTCTCTTCCATTCTCCTCTTGGGATTTTAGGCATGGACACACACCTGCCTGGCATGATTGTCAAGCCTCCAGGTCCGGGATTCGGAACTGTGGTCAGATATGTGGAAATCTAGCACCTTAACCACTGCACCACTTGCCGGCCCCATCCTTCCACCCACCCACCCCCTCTTCCTTCCTTACATTTATTTTTTAAAATTCTGGTCATCTCCTGTCTGAGCCATAGCAAAATATTGGGTCAAAAGGAAAGTAATGATTAATTTTTGCATAGTAAAACAAAAAAAATATGTCATGACTTTCCAGGTGACCTAATAGAAGCAGCAAACTAACAGCATGTAAGTTGACACATAAGAATGTCCAATAATATTCTTCTTTTTTTTTTTTTAAAGAGGACTTTTGCTAAAGGGCACACACACTTGCCAGAGAAGACAGGGAGAGACAGAAAGTGAGCAGTCACCCCCAAGGGGTGATTCCTTTCTTCTCCATTGTCCTTTCAGGATCTTGGGCATATATGCACCTACTGTGAGTTTTAAGCCACCAGGTCGCAGACTTGAACTGTGGTCAACTATGTGAGAGTCCAGCAACATAACCGTTACACCATCTGCTGGTCCCTATGAAATAACACTCTGTTTGCAAGATGGTGCAATCATAAAAATGATAAAAGACTGACAACATTGCATGTTCATTCTGTACAGGATCACTTTTTAACTTTCTCATGCTGTGACATGTTAGAGCAGGGTAATATTTGCCGTGAATGTTGGGGTTAAACTGATGAGGTAATTGAGGACCAGAAGTGATTGGTTCAGGATTCTTGCTTCCTCTAGTCTTGCCCTGTTGTTTTAAAAGTTGACAGGGGAACCAATAGTATGTGACCCACTTGAAGGGCCCCGACTATTTTAAACAACATTAAAGATGGTAGCAGTGGCTCTGTTCATCAAGGAAAGAAATTTAGAGAATATTAAATGCTGTTGAAGAAAGCTTATACTTTAGAAATATTCTCATATGTAATGATTAGAACAAAGCTTATAATTTAGAAATATTTTCATCTGTAATAATTAAAATATGTATTTCCTTAACTTTTTTAAACTTCTGGTTTTCTTTTTGTTTAAAAAAAAGAGATTTTTGCTATAGGGCATGTGTGCTCACCGGAGAGACAGACAGAAAGCCAGAAATCACCCCCTGTGTAGAATGGCCATGCTACAGTCCCACCACCTCCATTCTCCTCTTGGGATCTTGGGCATGCATGCACACACGCCTGCTATGAGTTTCAAGCCACCAGGTCCGGGACTTGAACTGAAGTCAGCTACATGAGAGTCCAGAGATGTAACCATTACGCCATCTGCTGGTCCCAAATCCTAGTTTTTTAATTATTCTAAAATTTTTAATTAACACATAATAATTCTTCATATTTGTGAGGTACAGTGTAATTTTTCAGCATATAAGTACAATGTGTAATAATAAAAATTGGGATGATTAATATATCTGTCATTTTAAACATTTTTTATTGCTTCGGGTTGAGAACTTTTTTAATATTTTATTTAACTTTATTTATTTATTCATTTATTTATTTCAATTTGACCAGAGAGGGATAGAGAGAGAGAGAGAGAGAGCAAGCTGCCAGATCCGGGACTTGAACCGTATGTAGTGAGCCACATGGGAGTCCAGAACCCTCAACCACCAAGCCACCTGCCAGCCCCCGGGTTGAGAATTTCTAAAACTATCTTTGGTTGAAGATAAAAAATATGATAATGTCGTTGATTTATCACACACTTGCATGTATGCTTTGAAAAACCACATTGTGCCCCTGAAAGATGTGCAATAATTAAATGAAAATAAGAAATTATTCATGCTGTGACATGTTAGAGCAGGGTAATATTTGCCGTGAATGTTGGGGTTAAACTGATGAGGTAATTGAGGACCAGAAGTGATTGGTTCAGGATTCTTGCTTCCTCTAGTCTTGCCCTGTTGTTTTAAAAGTTGACAGGGGAACCAATAGTATGTGACCCACTTGAAGGGCCCCGACTATTTTAAACAACATTAAAGATGGTAGCAGTGGCTCTGTTCATCAAGGAAAGAAATTTAGAGAATATTAAATGCTGTTGAAGAAAGCTTATACTTTAGAAATATTCTCATATGTAATGATTAGAACAAAGCTTATAATTTAGAAATATTCTCATCTGTAATAATTAAAATATGTATTTCCTTAACTTTTTTAAACTTCTGGTTTTCTTTTTGTTTAAAAAAAAGAGATTTTTGCTATAGGGCATGTGTGCTCACCGGAGAGACAGACAGAAAGCCAGAAATCACCCCCTGTGTAGAATGGCCATGCTACAGTCCCACCACCTCCATTCTCCTCTTGGGATCTTGGGCATGCATGCACACACGCCTGCTATGAGTTTCAAGCCACCAGGTCCGGGACTTGAACTGAAGTCAGCTACATGAGAGTCCAGAGATGTAACCATTACGCCATCTGCTGGTCCCAAATCCTAGTTTTTTAATTATTCTAAAATTTTTAATTAACACATAATAATTCTTCATATTTGTGAGGTACAGTGTAATTTTTCAGCATATAAGTACAATGTGTAATAATAAAAATTGGGATGATTAATATATCTGTCATTTTAAACATTTTTTATTACTTCGGGTTGAGAACTTTTTTTAATATTTTATTTAACTTTATTTATTTATTCATTTATTTATTTCAATTTGACCAGAGAGGGATAGAGAGAGAGAGAGAGAGAGCAAGCTGCCAGATCCGGGACTTGAACCGTATGTAGTGAGCCACATGGGAGTCCAGAACCCTCAACCACCAAGCCACCTGCCAGCCCCCGGGTTGAGAATTTCTAAAACTATCTTTGGTTGAAGATAAAAAATATGATAATGTCGTTGATTTATCACACACTTGCATGTATGCTTTGAAAAACCACATTGTGCCCCTGAAAGATGTGCAATAATTAAATGAAAATAAGAAATTATAAAATAAATACTTGAAAAAGCCAGGTTTTAACTATTTTTATATATATATAAAATGTGTTATTGTTATCTCTAGTTACCCTACTGTGCTATAGAACGTTGAACTTACTCCTCTTATCTCACTGTAATTTTCTATCTGTTAACCAACACGTCCCTATCCTCCACTTCCCTCAAGTCCTTCCTAACATCTGGTAACCACTATTCTACTCTCCTTTATGAGGACAACTGTTTTAATTTCTTCATATGAGTGAGAACATGTGTTTTTTTGTTTTGCTTTTCTGTTTTTTGTTCCTAGCTTATTTGATTTAGAATTGTGTTCTCTAAGTTCCACTATGTTGATTCAAATGACAGATTATTCTTTTTAATGGTGGAATAATATTCCACTTTGTGTGTGTGTGTGTGTGTGTGTGTGTGTGTGTGTGTACACATACGTACATGTGTCTGTGTACATGCCACATTTTCTTTATCCATTTTCTTGTTAATGAACACTTAGATTGATTTCATATCTTGGCTATTGTATATAGTGCCAAAATATACTAGGAACTCAAACAACTCAACAGCAAAAAAAAAAAAAAAGCCAAAATCGAAGAAGACAAACGACCAACAAGTACATGAAAAAGTACTCAACATTTTAATGTAATCTTCAAGGAAATCCAAATCAAAACCACAATGAGATATCTCACCCTAGTTACAAAGCTGTCATTAAAAAGACAAAGAAAAATACTGGCCAGGATGTAGAGAAAGGGAAACTCTTTTATACTCTTGGTAGGAAAGTAAATTAGTATAGCCATTATGAAAAACAGAAAGGATGCACCTCAAAAAGTTAAACATAAGAACTACAGGACCAGCACTTGGTGTAATGGCTATTTCGCTGGACTCCCATATAGTCGACCATGGTTCGAGTCCCAGACCCAATGTTTGAACTCATGCCAGGCGTGTGCGTGCCCAAGATCCCGAGAGGAGAATGGAGGAGAAGGGATTGCGGCATGGCCAGCCCCCTGGGGGAGGATTTCTTGTTTTCTCTCTCTCTGTCTCTCTCTGTCTTTCTGGTGAGTATACGTGCCCTATAGCAAAAAAATCTCCAAAAAAGAAAAAAAAAAAAAAACTTCTATATGATCCAGTGCCACTATTAGACATTTATCTAGAGGAGCATAAATTAGTATGTCATACAAATATCTGCACTCTCACGTTTATTGTCTTCTTGACTTTTAAAGTATAGTCATCCTTCAGTATCCATGGGGGATTGGTTCCAGGATCCTTATGAATAGCCAAATCCAGATATGTTCAAGTTTCTTTATAGAAAATGACACATAGTATTTACATCCAACCTATGTACTTCTTCCCATATAGTTTAAATCATCTCTAGATTACTTAGAAGATCTTAGCAGCATCAGATATAAGTAAAAATGAAAAAGATACAAACTTCAGTGTCTCTCTTTTAAGCAGCCACCACTTCTCCCATTTTTCTTTTCTTTAAATAATTTTATTTATTATTATTATTTAAAATTCTATCAGAGAGAGAAAGAGGGGGGAAAGTGAGAAAGGAAGCTCTGCTGGGTCTGTCACTCAAACCATAGCCATGTAGGAGTCCAGTGCCTTAACCACCTACCTGCCCCTCATTTTTCTTTTTGAATATTTGCTGTGCCAGAGAGACAGACACCAAAAGAGAGGGCGTCTTGGTGTAATTTACTCCCTGAGCGGGGGATGACCACACTACAGTCACTTTTCCTCTATTCTCCTCTTGGGATTTAGGGCACGCACACACACGCCCTGCAGCACATTTTCCAAGTCACTGGGGCCGGGACTCAAGCTGTCCAGTCACCTATGTGGGATCCAGTGCCTTAACCCCCAGGGCACCTGCTAGCCCCATTTCTCCCATTTAATAACAGTTGTGGGCTTACTGCATCCATGGTTGGTGGAATTTACAGATGTGGAACCCATGGATATGGAAGACTGACTGTAGTCCACCTATAGTTATCTAGAAAATGTATTTTAAGAGTTACAGTTAAGATGTATGCATGGGGGACAGCAAATCGTTTAGCAGTTACATCGCTGGGCTCCTGCATGACTGACTGCAGTTCAAGTTCCAGACCTAGTGGCTTGAAAATCACACCGGACCTGTGTGCTTGCATGTCCAAGATCCCGAAAGGAGAATGGAGAAGCGATAGTAGTGTGGCCATCCCCCCCACCCCAGCCCCCTGGTGGGAGATGATTTTTCACTTTACCTCTCACTGTCTTTGATTCTTTTCAACAAGTGCATATGTCCTAAGGCAAAAAAACCTTTTTTTTTAAATGTATGTCTGCATGTATATTTATTTCTACATTTTCTGATTATCAAAAGTAATGCAGAAGTGTGTAAAATAGAAAATGGAAGTTTCTTATAATCTCGCCCCCAGAAATAATCAAAGTTAATACCATGGTATATTCTCCATAGAATGTTTTTTTCCTCACAAAAGTGGGATTATACTATGTGCCCATAGTGTGTCCACTTGTTGTTTTGTGTAAAATCTAGTATGCCATGGATATCTGTATATAGCAATACCAATAGTAAAGATACCACAGTCTTTCTATGAGTGAAACATGGTAGTTTAGGGGCCTGCAGGTGGCATGGTGGTTAAGGATGCTGCACTCCCACATGGCTGACAGCAGTTTGAGTCCCAGACCTGGCGGTTTGTTTTCTCATTTGCCCTCTCTCTCTCACTCTCTTCCTCTCTAGTCAAATTTAAGTAAATCAATAAAGTTAAATAAAAAATAATTCTTAAAAAAATGGGAGTTTGATGCTAGGGATACACAGGTTAAGACAATTAAAGTCTCTGACCTCAAAGAGCTTCCACTTAAATGGGAGAAACAGACACTAAACATGTAATCACACACATAAATCTAGTGATACTTGTGGTGACTGGTATAAAAGTGTGGGGTACTGTGGGAATATATAACAGTAAAACCTAACCTAAAGACGACCTGTTTGAGAGACAACTGTTTGATCTGAGACCTGAAAGTTGATTATGTATTAGCTAGAAAAAGAGTTTCAGGCAGAAAGAACCACACACACAAAGGCCCTGCGTTGACTGAGAGCTTGGCATAATTAGACAACTGAAGTTTGCCTCATTCATTTTATTGCATTTTGTACCAACACTTATTTGCTTATTTCTCTGTTAATGAAAATTTACTTTACCTATTCTAAGTAGTGTTGCAGTAAACATCTTTGTTTGTATAACTTAGCAACTTTTAAAAATACTATCCTTACCATGAACTCCCATGAACTGGTAAAGTTATCCCTGATTTTTAAATATTTTCTGGCTTTAAAATATCATGTACCGTGCTTTGTTCTTTTCAGTCTTAAATTTGAAATTTAGGACATATTTATTGCTTTTTCAATTATTTATGAAAGCTTGAGATGCATATTTGTGTTGAATTGTGTTTGGAAGTACCTATTGAGAAAGCTCAACCTAATTTTATTATATACAAATACCGCAACTGAAAGAGAAGGGAAAGGGGCCCATCTTGGGCTGACAAAGCATCTATTTTTTAAGTAAATACCTCTTTTTCTTTTCATTGGTAAAATGTGTTTTTAAGCATGACTCTGTAAAGCAGTCTTCTCAAAGCTATTCTCTGCAGATTTATGGCCTCACCTTAGTCCCTCTAAATCAGATTATCTGGGAATAGGATCTAGGTATCTGCACTCTAAATACTTACCTCCCCCAACCTGCCCATCAGTTATTATTCATCATTAAAAACAAGTGCTCTTGGGACCAGCAGTTAGCGTAATGGCTATGTCGCTGGACTCCCACGTAGTCGACCGTGGTTCGAGTCCCGGACCCGGTGGCTTAAACTCACGCCGGGCGCGTGTGCGTGCGTGCCCAAGATCCCGAGAGGAGAGTGGAGGAGAAGGGATTGCGGCGTGGCCATCCCCCCCGGGCCTTAGTCCCTCTAAATCAGATTATCTGGGAATAGGATCTAGGTATCTGCACTCTAAATACTTACCTCCCCCAACCTGCCCATCAGTTATTATTCATCATTAAAAACAAGTGCTCTTGGGACCAGCAGTTAGCGTAATGGCTATGTCTCTGGACTTCCACGTAGTCGACCGCGGTTCGTGTCCCGGACCTGGTGGCTTAAACTCACGCCAGGTGCGTGTGCATGCGTGCGTGTGTGCCCAAGATCCCGAGAGGAGAATGGAGGAGAAGGGATTGCGGCATGGCCATCCCCCCCTGGGGGTTGACTTCTCGCTATCTCTCTGTCTCTCTCTGTCTGTCTGGCGAGCGCACGTGCCCTATTGCAGAAACCTCTCAAAAAAAAAAAAAAACAAGTGCTCTTAGGACCAACAGATGGTATAAAGGTTACATCGCTGGACTCCCACATAGTTGACTGTGATTCAAGTCCTGGACTCAGTGCCCAACTCAGGCTGGGCATGTGTGCATGCATGCCCAAAATCCCAAGAGGAGAATGAAGAAGAAGGGATTGCAACATGGCCAAAGCCTCTGAGGGTGATTTCCCACTGTGTCTCTGTCTCTTTGGCGAGTATATATGTCATATAGCAAAAAATCCCTCTTTAAAAAAAAAGAATGCTCAAAAATAGATAATGGACGGCAGAGGAAAGTGTCTATATTTCCATTGTATCCATAATGAGTTTAATATATTTATTCCATTTAACAGGGATTTGACAACTCAAACACCTACTGTTTATATAAAACCATATAAACATTTGTTTCAAAATAGTGTACTTTACCAGTTACAGATAATAAGCTTATCTGTCAATTGGTTAACTTTTACATTAGCTAAATTAATATTTTTTGTGTGTATCTATTGTTGTTAAGGACTCAACTGAAGAAGTTCCTTGGAAAATCAGTAGAGAAAGCAAAGCACCTTGCTGAGGAATATGGTGAACGTGCTATAAATAAAGTTAAAAGTGTTAGAGATGAAGGTAAGTAAAATAGAACATTACAGCTGAATAATTAATTTGTAATCATCTAAATTCAGCCTGCAAAATTACTTATAAATTATTTTGTAAGGCTATTTACAAATAAATAGTTTTTTCCCTTTTTTAAAAAATTATTTAATTTAATTTATTTATTTCAAATATGCCCAGGAAAGGACAGAGCAAGAGAGAGAGAAAGTAAGTGAGAAGGTAAACTGCCAGGTCTGGGACTCAAACTATGGTTGCTCATGTGGGAGTCTAGCGCCCTTAACCACCATGCAACCTGCTGGCTCCTAGCCTATTTAGTTTTTACAGGTACTTTCAAAATTAGATAAATTTTCTTTTTTGAGAAGGTTTTGTCTTAGGGCATGTGTGCGTGCGTGCCAGAGAGAGAGAGACAGTGAGAGGGAAAATGAGAAATCACTCAGGGGGTGGGGGGGGAGGCGGGGCATGCAGCAGTTCCTTCTCTTCCTTTTTCCTCCTGGGATCTTGAGCACCCACACACACACATGCTCGGCATGATTTTCAAGCCACCATGTCCAGAACTCAAACCACAGTCGGCCATATGGGAATACATTGACGTAATCGCTACGTCATCTGTTGGTCCCCAAATTAGATAAATTTTTTTTAATTTACTGATCTTAACCTTCTTTTCCTTTGTCATTATAGTACTCCTTTGTTTTGTTTAATAAACACTTTTTTTTTTTTGAGAGGTTTCTGCTGTAGGGCACGTGCACTCGCCAGAAAGACAGAGACAGAAAGCGAGAAATCGCCCCCTGGGGTGATGGCCACACCACAATCCCTGCTCCTCCATTCTCCTCTCTGGATCTTGGGCACGCATGCACAGGCGTCCAGCATGAGTTGAAGCCACCGGGTCCGGGACTCGAACCAGAGTCGACTACATGGGAGTCCAGAGACGTAGCCATTAGGCCATCTGCTGGTCCCTAATAAACACTTTCATAGTATTTATTCAGGGCCAGACACTGTTCTAAGCACTTTTACCTGTATTAATTCATTTAATCCCATTAAAACTTTATGAAATAAGTACCATCAGTATCCCTATTTTAGAGATGAAAAGCATAGAAAGGTTAAATAACTTGCCTGTGGTCACTTAGATAATAAATGATAGCTAGACAACCTGGCACCAGAGTCTGTGCTCATAACCAGTATGTTACAAATTTTGCTCTTCAGTTTAATGAATATATTGGTAAACAGTAGATAAGAAAACATGGTACTAGCTATATCTATATTAATTAGTAATGATTTCTGTTGCTCCTTTTTTCAGTGTTTCATACTGATCAAGATGATCCCTCATCAAGTGATGATGAAGGAATGCCATACACAAGACCAGTTAAATTCAAAGCAGCACATGGTTTTAAAGGACCTTATGATTTTGATCAGATCAAAGTGGTACAAGATCTTAGTGGTGAACATATGGTAAGCCACCTTTGCATTTTTTAAAATTGATACTGATTTCTTTCTTTCTTTTCTTTTTTTTTTTTTGAGAGAGAGAGAGAGAGATTTTAGTTAGCTATAGGGAGTGTACGCTTGCTAGAGAAACATAAAACAAGAAATCTCCCCTGCTATCCTTCCCCACACTGCAATCCCTTCTCTTTCATTCTCCTCTTGGGATCTTGGGCACACACACACGTGTATCCGGTGTGAATTTGAAGCCGCAGTCAACTACATGGGAGTCCACCAATGTAACCATTATACCACCTGCCGGTCCCGATAGTGATTTCTTGAGAGAAACACTGTGGCTTCTATAAAGTTGATCTCTTATTTATGTAATTTTGGTAGCCCGACTTAGAAAGAGTGAATATACATTATTAATGATTTAATGAATTAGTAGCACAGATTCTGTCTCTGAATTATTCAAGAAGTGAATTACTAAATAAGTAAATTCTATGCCCTTATGATTATTCAAGAAGTGAATTACTAAGTAAGTAAATTCTAGGCCATTATCATTAAGAAAGCTGTGCAAAGGTACCTAACTTTAAAGCAGCTAAGTTAGAGGGTGGTCTGTCAGTTTGAAAAATATTTAAAACACTAACCTGTTTCCTGGCTTTAAGCAAAGTTCCTTGGCATTTCTTTGATTTAAGTTAAAACTGGTTTTCTTAGTAGTAACGAGTGAACTCACCATTGAAAGTAGTTAGGTTATGTAGGAAATTGTGTGATCAATATGTGCATGATTGAGTCACTATGCAGTGTGTACTGGATGGGAGATCGCATTTTGTGTGCTGTGATGATGCTTAGGGAAGGGATGTAAATTGAGTTACAAAAAAAGTTTCAGGAAAAAAAATATATCTATTCAATGACTGCAGTAGGATATGTAGCCCCAGCTAGGTGCTACTTTATAGGATGCGTAAAGTTAGACTTGTGCTCATGGAAATGTGTATGTCACCTGTGTTTGCTATGAGGGTATTTGGATTGATTAGGGTCTTTGGTGATTCAATAAAATGTAGGGGGGGGAACGGTATAGAAAGCAAACATAGATACCAGAGACAGTGTGGGTGGAGAGCGGGGGAGGTGGCAGAGGGTAAGAGATAGGGAATCAAAGATGGGGGGAAAAAAACAAAACATACAGAAAACAAGAAATGGAAGATCATTTGCTGACAATAACATGTTTGTTGATGTGCTTGATTGAGACAATATACAATGTACTCTGGATGGAAAATCTCATTTTGTATGCTGTAATGATGTACAGTGAATGAAAGCAAATAAATAAATTGAAAAAAATATTTAAAACACTACTATAAATAATTTGCACAAATATTTTAGAAGTTTAATATATTTTGTCAAGTAAGATACTTGGCTAAAACTAAGAGAAAGGTCTAGAGGTGCAAATTCTCTGTCAGAATACAAATATACCAGCATGGATTAAAATGTACAGGTTTATTGCAGCTACCCCCTGAAGATGCTAGGAATACAGGAAAAGCAACAGTAAAGCTCAAAACTGTATAAACGATGCTCTTGATCAAGGAATCTATTTAGATTTTAAGTCTAAAAGTTGGCTTAACTGAAAGGAAGCAACCATAAACATCAGATGGCAGCCAGATTGTAATTTAAATTTTGGTGCTTATAATCTGCAAAATGTTTGAGTCGATTATAGTGCCTTCCTTAAGGAATCTGATGATTTTTCTTGTATCGTACTGATACTCTTTTCCTTATTTTCAGTTTTAAGGAAAATCCCATTGACAAATGACAAATTTTAAAAATATATTTGATTTTTATAGAAATAAATGTTGTTCCAGTTATTGAGTGTCTGACTTGGATGATCATTTTGATATACCTACATGTGGGTTATAATATTGGTTGCAATAGGAATTGACCTTTCCAATTTAAGGGTTCATACTCTTTAAACTCTCTCCCCACAACACATACACTTCCCCACTGTCTTTTCAGTGTCTAGAGATTCTAAGCAAATACTGTGAAGTCTGGTTTCTGGGGAGAAAATCAGAATGGACCACATCATTCCAATACTTTTAAGTGATATGTGGGGAATTAGTAAGGTGGGTTTTATCCTTGGTTATCCCTGATCAGAAGTGGCAAATGCTATGCTGAGGGATCTGCCACCTACCTTTATGTTCAGCTAGGGGATAGATATCCCAACTAGGATTTGTACTTTTCCAATTAAGATTACAGGCTTGGGGCCAGCAGGTGGTGTGGTGGTTAAGGCACTGGACACTCCCACATGACAGACCACAGTTTAAATACTGGACCTGGTGGCTTGCTTTCTCACCTTATCCCCCCTCCCGCCCTCTCTGGTCAAATTGAAAAATAAATTAATGGGGACCAGCAGGTGGCTTGGTGGTTAAGGTACTGGAAACACCCACAGGGTCAATGATGGTTTGAGTCTGGACCTGGTGTCTTGCTTTCTCACTTTATCTCTCTCTCTCTGTGGTTAAAATTTTAAAAATAAATAAATGAATGAGTAAATAAAATTTAAAATAATGCTTTAAAAAATAAGTGAATACGTAAATAAGATTTTTTTAAATCTTAAAAAAAAATATTTTGGGCCACTTTAGAATGCCCCTGTCCATTAACAGGTGGACAAGGTTTTGGGTCTTGAAGTTATTAGTTTAGTTTATGGCGAACTACAGCTACCTTATCTGGCCTTTTTTCTGAATGTCCCTCATTGTGGTGTAGTCTCATTGGACTTTTGTTAATAATGTGAGCGTTGGGACCAACAGTTGGCATAATGGTTATGTTCCAGGATCCCATGAAATTGGCCACGGTTTGAGTCCCCGACCCAATGGCTTAAATTCACACCGGGCATGTGTACATGTATGCCCAAGATCCCGAGATGAGAATGGAGAAGAGATTGCGGCATGGCCATTCCCCCTGGGGGGTGATTTCTCACTTTCTGTCTCTGTCTCTCTCTGTCTTTCTGGCAAGCACACGCACTCTATAGCAAAAAACCTCTCCAAAAAAAAATTAATAATAATAATGTGAGCCTTATCTGAGTATATATAATTTGGCATATTGTTAAACTTTGGCTTTAAAGTTATGTGTCTAAACTTTTAAACTAATAACATCGAATCTTCTTTTGTTTCCACAGGGTGCTGTGTGGACCATGAAATTTTCTCATTGTGGCCGATTACTTGCTTCAGCTGGACAAGATAACGTAGTGAGAATATGGGCTTTAAAAAATGCTTTTGACTATTTCAATAATATGCGAATGAAATACAATACTGAAGGTATTTTTTTGTTTTCTTAAAAATCAAGAGAAATCTAGAATTTTTACATTTTAGGTGTAATACCCTCTTTATCTGTCAATCATTTGCAGCAACCTTTACTTCTTGGGTTGTCAAAACAGTCATGACGTATTTTTCTATGTTTCTCTGTGAAAAAAAAAAAAATGCATCATGACTTTTACAACAACCTAGTGTATTACCTAAAAACCTAAAAGTAAGACAGAAGTCAACAACAAAAAGCCTCTAAACCCAATGAAAAGAACTGCTGCAATAAGCTTTTGATTTACGCCTTTTCAGGTATAGTGCTTCGTTAATTTTATCAACTATTTCGAACAATTATTTGGTTTCTCTGGCAACCTTTAGTCTTGTCCTCGGTTAATATGAAATATCTAATTAAACTAAAAAAAGAATGAGAGTAATACTGGTTGAGCATCCCTAAATTGAAAATTTTGAAATCTGAAATGCTCCAAAATTCAAAACTTTTTGAGCCTTGCCATGACGCTGCAAGTAGAAATTTCCACACCTGGGGCCAGTAGGTGGCATGGAGGTTAAGGGCACTGGACTCCCACATAGACAACCATGGTTCGAGTCCCAGACCTGACAGCTTGCTTTCTCACTTTCTCTCTCTCTGTGTATCTTGCTCTGTTCCTCTCTGGTCAAATTAAAATAAATGAATGAATGAACCAAGAAAGTTAAATAAAATAATTCTTTAACAAAAAAGAAATTTCTATCTCTGACCTTATGTGATAGTCCCAGTCAAAATGCTGCATTACAAAAACAGTGTGTAAAATTACCTTCAGGCTATGTGTATAAGATGCATGGGAAGCATACATGGATTTTGTGTTTAGACTTGGGCTCCATCACCAAGATATCTTATATATGCAAATCCTTTAAAATCTGAAAGAAAAAAAAAATCTGAAGTCTGAAACATTTTTGACCCCATGCATTACAGATAAGGAATATTCAGCCTGTATATACATCTACTAAGTAAAGAATGAGTAAGGAAATAGCCACGGAAGGCAGATACAAATGGTCAGGATATCAAGGGTATATGAAAAAATGTTCAAGGGGAAAAAGAAACTTAGAAACTTATATTCATGCATAATGATTACAGTTCTGTAAAAGTATTGATGTAATGAGACCAGCAGATGGTGTAATGGTTACATTGCTGGACTCCCACATGGTTGCCCACGGTTCAAGTCCCAGATCTGGTAGCTTCAAACTCAAACCAGGCACATGTGCGTGCATGCCTAAAATCCTGAGAAGAGAGTGGAAGAGAAGGGACTGTGGGGTGATCATCCCTCCTGGGGGGTGATTTCTTGCTTTCTGTCTCTCTCTCTCACCCGGCAAGCACACGCACCCTATAGCAAAAATCTCTTAAAAAATTTTGTGTTATCATGGTGACTTTTCAGGAAAGTATATAGAATTAATGAAAATAGGGATTTTAAGTTTATGAGATTCTTTTCTTTTAATTATTTAACTATGTAATAAGTTTTCTTCACAAATCACCCTCTCAGATCAACCAAGGCTGAAAACAGGAAGTTAAAGGATGAGAGAGAGGAGAGTAGAAGTGTTGATAGGTGAGAGTATAGAGTCAGAGCACCAATTCGAGGAAATAGAATTCTAAGGCAAGTCAGTAAACCAGCAAGCAAGGCCCTAGAGAGTAAACCCTTGTGAATATTACTTACATTATGCTGCAGTACATAATTGAAGATGATTATGAAGTTACAAGAAGTTAAGCTATGTTTAGTATATAGTGAGTTTTTCTAGTCTTAGCTGTTTGTCACTTCTTTTACTACCCTATGTGGAACTGAAAGACTATTTTCAGTGGCCCTTGTGATTTAACCTTAGAACTGATTCTTTTTGTTTCTTTATTTTTTTTCTCTTGTTACTTATTATATGATTAATAAGAATGTATTTGCCATGAATACTGAAGATTTAACAGTATTTTGCTTACTAAATTAGAGACACAGTTAAGCCTATCCTATATTAAAAAAATAAACATATTGGTGCTTATAGGGTTATGCTTCACTTAGGAAATGTAGTTAGGAACTATATTATCATGTCTTAATTTTTGGTGGATATGCAAGTGTACATACCATATTTTTTTTACAATTATTATTTTATTTTTAGGACGTGTGTCCCCATCACCTTCTCAGGAAAGTCTAAGTTCATCAAAATCTGATACAGATGCAGGGGTATGTTCATTGTTTTGTGGTTACTATTGTAAAATGCTGTGATCTAACTTATTTATCATAAAGCACTTTTTTTTTTATCAGAAAGTAAAGTTGCAGGACCAGCAGATGCTGTCACAGTTATGTCGATGGACTCCCATGTAGTCAACTGCAGTTCAAGTCTTGGACCCAGTGGCTTACAACTCACGCTGGGTGCATGCGTGCATATGCCCAAAATCCCGAGAAGAGAATGGAGTAGAAGGGATTACAACATGGCCATCCCCTCTGGCTGTCACTCTATCTCTCTCTGACTCGGGCAAGTGCAGGTTCTCTATAGCAAAAAGTCTCTCTTTAAAAAAAAAAAAAAAAAACGGAAAGAAAGAACAGTTCTATGAAGGCATGTAATTCAAATTAAAGTGTGTCCTTAGAAACAAGTTTCTTTTCTTTTTTTCAGGTTTTCTTGTTTTTTCTATAAGGTGTGTGTACTCACCAGATTGGGGTAGGGGGCAGGAAGTGAGAAATCACCATGGGCTGGGAGGTGGGGGGATGGGCATGTTGCATTCCCTTCTCCTCTAGTCTCTTCTCAAGATTTTGGGCATGCACATGCATGCAGCCAGGTGATTTTCAAGTCACCATGTCCAGGACTTGAACTGCATATTCAGCCATATGAGATCCAGGCCTTAACCTCCAAACCACATGCTGGCTATTGAGATTTTCTTTCTTCCATTAGAATTACTAAATGAAAAATTCCCATATTTAAAGGTTGCCAGACATTGAATAATACTGAAGATGCTAAACTACTAATGTATATTTAAATAACGTAAAATATCTTTCCCTCAAATCCGTGTTAGATAATTTTAAATAAAAACAATGAGTACCTGAATAAGAGATAATTAAAGGTAAAAATATTCATATACTTGAACTTTCCTATCTTTTCGGGTTTAATAAATGCTTTATCACAGTTTCAGGTAGTATAAAGTATTGGGTTGTTAGGAAAGTCATGATGCATTTTTGCATAGAAAAATATGTCATGACTTTTCTGCCAACCCAATATCTTAATGATTTTCATTTGGTTTTAAAGCAAAAATGTTAAATATAACCAATTTTAAACCTAAAAGCAGAATACAAAATACTATGCTAAATCATCCCTCTGCATGTATATTGAGCTAGGCAAAGCATGATTCAAAGAGAACCTAAAATGTCCATCTACTCAATGGTATTTTCTTGGGAATATGTTTTTTGTCTAGTATTTGATACTGACTTTTCCCCTCATGGCTTTACATGAGTCTGTTTTTCCTTATTCTCTTATATCCCTGCGTATATCCCTGCTGTGTCATCATCTTCAACCCTTTTAAACATTGCTGTTTCTTGGAGTCTGCTTTTGCCTATTTCTTTTCTTTTCTATAAGAATTATTTATTTAATTTTATTCATTCCCATTGTTTTTTTTTGTTGTTGTTGTTGTTGTTTCTTTAATTTGACCAGAGACCGACAGAGAGGGAAAGTGAAAAAGCAAGCTGCCAGGTCAGGGACTCAAACCATGGTCAGCTGTGTGGGAGTCTAGCACCTTAACCACCATGCCACCTGCCAGCCTCTGTCTTTGCCTATTTCCAAGGGACATAGCTACTTACTCCTTCCAGTCCTGAAATGGCTTTAGAGCCATAATTCTTTGTTTCTTTTTGGTAGCTTTTTACTTTTTTTTTGCTTTGATTCTTCAGCTTTGTCAGAAGACATGATTTATTGTACACATATTACACTTGGCCGTAAGTAACAGCACTAGTCCCAGAATGTCACAGGTCCAGGGAAAAGGATCACAGGAGCTGTTTTGGTAGGAGCAATGTGAGTCCCTGGCAGAGATCTTGGCAATCCACTGGCCATGGAAGTTCTAGATCCAGAGACAGAGTCGACAGTATCTCACCGTTCAAGTTATACCAGTGCTCCAAGTCTCCGACATTCCGTTTATGCTGCTGTGGCCTCCATAGGTGCACAAGCTGTTTACTTGGACCTCTGCCTCATCATTCTTGTTTTATGCTTTAGCCTGTGCATTCACTTCTTCCTCCACTTGGCTCTCATGGTACAGAGGTTTCTGAGAAAAAAGCGCTAAGGCCAAGAGAGCTCTTTTCGGTAGCTTTATGTTTTTTAAATAATATGATCTTATTGTGCATGCTACCCTTTTCACATAACAGTATGCATGATCTATTGCCTGTGTGTTCTTTAAGTACTCCAAAACTAAACTCCCTCAGCTTTTTTTTTCTTTATGAGACAGAGAAAAGGGCAGAGATAGGTATTTTTGACAGGGTCTTGCTGCATCTGTGTAGCAATCTTTCTGCCCCAGCTTCCCAATTAGCTCGGATTACAGGCCTGTGCAATTCTCTCCAAGGTATTTTGGTTGGTCTGTAAACCAAATTCCGCCTTCTCGTGTGCTTCTCAGCATCCTAAGCAGTGACATGATCTGTAGGCTACTGTGGCTGAACCAACAAATGTTTTTTGCATGCTTTCTATCTGTGGCAGGCACTGTTATATTCTATACAATTAAATGACACATACTCTATACTTAGGGATCTTGCTGACTAGTGTTATAGATAATACTACAACTACATTATGAGGGGTAATATTCTACAGAAAGGACTATACATGAATAGCAGTTAAGCTTATAAATTAGAGTGTCAGGAACTGCTGCCTGGAAGCATGATATTTGAGCTGGGAGTTAGCTTATATATGAGAAGGAAGAAAGGGACATATCAGGCATGTTAGCCAGTGCAAAGGCATAGAGGCTAAAACAGCATGAAATATAAAAGGTACTATAAAGAATTCCATATAGCTAGAACAAAGGATATGGATTTTATATGTGTGTGTGTGTATGTGTGTGTATATATACATACATATATATAAAAGAATGGTAGGAGACATAGGCAGGAGTGGGATTTTTACATGGCTTTTTGTTAAACTAAAGTATTTGAACTTATCCTATAAGCTACTTGGTCAGGGGAGAGCTTTGAAGGGTTTTAATCAGGGGCTTAATTAACATGGTCAGGTTTTTGTTTTATTTTTAAAATTCATAATAGAGCATATGAGAGTGAATAAGTGAGAAAGAAAAGGAGGGAAGAGTACCCTTTACATGGTTTGTACTGCAACCCCCTTCTAGTCCTCTAGCCCTTCAGATCCTGGGTGCTGTTACACATGCCTAGCCTGTTTAAGGCTGACTTAGCCAGGGATTCAAAATGTGGCTGCCATTTGGTATCTGACTTTTCTGAACAGCCATGGAGCTGGCCCCAAATTTTTGTTTTAGAAAGAACTTTCTGCTGGTACTGTGAAGGATAGATTGGATGGAGGTTCTAGGCTAGTAATAGGAAAACCACTTAAAGAGGCTGTTAATAACCTAGAATATAAATCAGTACTCTGATTATGATAGATTATGATAGCAGTGAAGCTAGAAATCATAAAGAAAAGCTGAATTCAAGAATTGGGAAAGAAGTCAAATTTTTAGGATTTCGTGAGACTAGCTAGGATGATTCACAGATTTCCAACTTGAATAGCAAGCTAGATGGCAATGATCCTTTGTAGAAACATTTTTGTCATCTCTCCATCTCTCTTCTGAACCTTATTTAATGGCATCCATGTCTAGGAATTACCTTTCAAACTCAGTTAGAAATCCTCTACTGGAGCTGTCTCAGTGGTATAGCAGTGGTACCCTGCTCAAGGGATGCTGGATCCATATGAGGGATCAAGGGTTTGGTTCTCAAGTCAACCTGCACAAAACCCATGATCTTGGCTGGCTAGAGTGGGGACTGATCATGGCATGAGGCCCTGTTGAGTGTGCTAGTCTTTCTCATGAAAGAAACAAGCTGTTTAAAATATACTGTATTCATTTTTCTTTCTTACCCACATATCATATTAGTTCCAAATTGTTAGCCACTCGACCCCCACCCACAGTTGGCCATGGAATCTGTTCCTTCATCTGTTGACACATCATCTAGGCCCTCAATGCTCAATTATTTTTTAATTATTTTAAAGAATTATTTTATTGAACTTTATTTTGTTTATGTATTTATTTTAATTTGAGCAGAAAGGAAGAGGGAGAGAGGGAGGGAAGGAGAGAGAGAAAGTGAGAAAATAAGCCAACAGATACGGAACTTGAATTGTGGTTGGCCACGTGAGAGTTCAGTGCCCTTAACCATCACACCACCTGCTGCCCCCACTCAGTGCTCATTAAAATGTTTGTCAGTCTCCTAATTGTATTGTTTGTTTTGTTTTCCTGCTCCTGGTCTCTACCAAATTCACTTTCAACGCTGTCACCAGGTAGTTTCTTTAAAAACTCAAATCTTATTTTGTAGTTTAAAAAAATTTCACTGGCTCATTATGACCTCCAGAATAAGGTTCTTCCCAATATTGCCTCCTCTAATCTTTTACTTCAGTTCTAATTCCCTAATGCCTGTGATCCCAATTGCCATTCTGGATAGGAGTCTGTACCCTAAACACTCTTCCACTTCCATGTCATTGTCCATGCTGTTTTTTTTTGCCAGGAATTCTCCTTGTCCCCTTCCTTCATAAGGCAAAACCCTAAGATTCAGCTCAAACATCTTATCTTTTCATATTATTTTCCCTAAACCAAGCAGACAAAATTGTTTCTAATTTTGTTCTTTTTTTTTTTTTTGGAGAGGTTTTTGCTATAGGGCATGTGTGCTCGCCAGACAGACAGAGAGAGACAGAAAGCGAGAAATCACCACCCAGGGGGGATGGTCATGCCGCAATCCCTTCTCCTCCAGTCTCCTCTTGGGATCTTGGGCACACACGCAATGATCCTTTGTAGAAACATTTTTGTCATCTCTCCATCTCTCTTCTGAACCTTATTTAATGGCATCCATGTCTAGGAATTACCTTTCAAACTCAGTTAGAAATCCTCTACTGGAGCTGTCTCAGTGGTATAGCAGTGGTACCCTGCTCAAGGGATGCTGGATCCATATGAGGGATCAAGGGTTTGGTTCTCAAGTCAACCTGCACAAAACCCATGATCTTGGCTGGCTAG